TCATTATGGGGCAGTATTGTTTGTTGTTCACCAGTAGAGTTAACTGCCGTGAATCTCAGCATGTTAAGAAATACTGGAGTCTGGTCAGCACTCTTTCTTTGTTGTAAGTTATTCATAATGTTTTTTCAGTTTCAGCACATATTTCTGGACACTGACAAGCTTTTCTTTTTATGCTTGTGGTAGTTATTGTGTTATTGTTGACAACTTATGGTGAGGTTGTGTCCAGCCATGAAACATTTCACCCATACAAATTGGCCTTGAACTCAATGACAGATATATGTATTGTTTCCTTGCTAATCTGCAGCCTTTGAAATGTAGCATCTCTATGTATACTGCAAATTTGTTTCTCTCTGTATTCATAAAACATAGATATAACTTGGCCTCCACATGTGAATACTTGCACTTTTTTTGCCATGAGTGCATATTTCTTTTTAGAAATTCATGGTTGTTTTTCTTTTTCACCTGGTCATCTTATGTTCATTTCACCTACATCATTCCCTACACAACTTTATTTCCAAGTTCTCATGCATATCAAACAGCTTCTAATTTAAATCTTGCTGTATAACATGCTCACACTTTGGCAGTGTTGCACAGACAGTAGCCATAAGTTCTCAAGAAACACTAACAGTATACACAAAGCAGGGTTAACTTCTGGCACAAAGTTCATCTTTACTTTGTTAAAGTGAAAAGCACAATAGATCACTGTAGGTGCAACGGCCGAGAAGGCCCACTCCTTCTTCATCCATTCAGTCATTCATTCATTCGTTATAGTGAACAATTATCCAAATTGGTATTCTGTAATAGCAGACCCTTTATGCAACATACACTTTTGCACTTGCTGCAAATAAAGCCACAACCAGATTTTAGTTGTAGCTTAAAGGGGTTGTGTGAAGTGTCATTTCTTACGAAGCTGAATCAACAATCATCATGCAGTTACATGAGCAGAGCTGGACTGTATAATTTCCATCATGTGAATTTTCTATTTTATGCCAGTCTTGTGCTTACTGCCGAGAGAGCCATGATCAGATTTTGTAACAACACAAAGTGTCACACGAAGTGTGACTCTGTGCTGAGAGCCAATGAGTTCCATTTTCCCACCACATAAATTGTTCTTCATGATGCATTTTTACTGACATGGGTCACCTGTTAACACTGTCATTTGGCTAGCTATACATATGTATAAAGGAACATATGAATTACCAGGATATCAGCAAGTAGCTGCCAACACCGATTGCCACAAGTCAGAAGACTGTGACAGCACTAACAAATTACTGTAGAGTCTGTTAGCAACAACCAAGTCCCACAAATGCAACTGCGAATATCTTACTTTCCACAAGTAAAATCTAGTATGGCTTATACACATACAAATATAGTATAAATGGTTAACCTGGAACAAGCATTCACACGGTTGCAAAGGGAGTGAAATTCAAATGGGACAGTATCCAAGGCAGAGCAACTAGCTGAAATGCCATGTTGAGAAAAATAATAAGCTTATATAATTAAAAGTAAATAAATTGAATATTAAACATATTTTTATCAACTCTGACAGTCTGTGACAAGAGATTTCATGAAATATGATCCCTTGCATATATATACATACATGAACATAAAATGACACTTTATAAAACACAAGAGTGTATAAAAAAAAGAGCCCTCACATTCCATATATACATATACAACTTAACAATGTGTGCTGCTTACATATAAAATACAGTAATGCTGGGTATTTACAGTGTATCAAAACCCCTTTAATATTGAGAAGACTATCTGCAAGACATCATACTCATACAATGATCATCAACACAAATCACACATTCACATCACACTATATTACAGTGGTTTCCAAACTGTAGTTAGTGACCCACATTTTGGTATGCAAAATATATCACAGGATTCTCCAGCAAAAATGTGTAACTGCAGAGACATGTGCCAGTATTATATAAAGCCAACTTCACAAAAAGGAGAGAGTGGGGAAAAAGTAATGCCACTTAATTCCTTTTCCTTTAGAAGAGTATTTTTTTCTTAGCCTATCCCAGTTGCATATTTGCTGTTCATGTCTACCATTTCTTTTTGGTGGGAACTGACTTGCAAAAGTCTGTGTGAATGTTTGGCAGTCTGATGCTGGTAGCTAAAATGAGGAAAACAGACATAAAGACCAGATATTGTAAAACAAGAAATTCTGGAGAGAACTCACAGAGCCCACTTTCTACTGCCCAGGCATCAAGTCCTATAATATTATAATAAAACGAAAGGCCATGCCATAGCTCAAGTGGTTAGTTGCTGGCTTCCCACCGCAGTGGCCCAGGTTCCATCCTGGGTCTGGTCAAGTGGGATTTGTGGTGGACAAACTGGCACTGGGGCAGGTTTTCTCTGAGTACTTTGGTTTCCCCTGCTAATCTTCAGTCCACCAATTGCTCCACAATCACCCTCACCTATCATCTGGGGCTGGTACAATAGGCCAGATGTGGCTGCAGTACAAGGGACTTGGTCCCACCCCACTAGCAATAAAAAATAATAAAATGATACATATCCCAGTTCAAAGTCACACTGTTTGCCTAAGAAGACTTGTATTACTATTTCTGGTACTTTAAGATACTGATGCTCTTTCTCAGTTTAAACATTCCAACACATTATGTAACTGTCATTCCTGAACTCTGAGCTCCAGAAATATTTCTGTTTACTAGTGAAGTCTGGAGGAGAGTGATTTGCTTGAGGTTTTAACAGATTGTACAAGAACAAAGGGAATATCTGTTTGAAATTATGGCTTCAGTTCTAAAGTTACTATATTCTGAAATAATATAAACTATCTCCCCCTAATTATTTGTGTGTGTGTCAAACGGTAGGGTAAAAACTGGCGATCAAGTGAGTCTGAATAGGGCTGGGTAGGGCTAACAAATGAAACACCATATGTGGTGTTACAGAGATTCACTCACTCATGGAGTTGAGCCCTTCTTTAAAAGCCATTAATTGTGCAGCTATTAAAGAACTTCCCAGCATTTTATGGAACCCAAAGGTTCATTTCTGTGTTCACAAGAGCCCTCTACTGGTCTCTATCCTGAGTCAGATCAATCCAATACAGACCATCCAATTTCTGTAAGATTCGGTTTATTATTGTCCACCCACCTATGCCTTGGTCTTCCCAGTGGTCTCTTTCCTTCTGGCTTTCCCATCAATATCCTATACGATTCCTCTTCTCCCCCATTCATGCTACATGCCTTGCCCATCTCAATCTCCTTGACTTGATCATTGTAATTATACTTGGAGAAGAGTACAAGTCATGAAGCTCCTCACTATGCAATTTTCTCCAATCTCCTGTCACTTCATCTCTCTTCAATAAAAATATTCTTAACACCCTGTTCTCAAACAGCCTCGGTTTATGTTCCTACCTTAATGTCAGAGCACAAGTTCCACACCCATACAGAACCACAGGAAAAATTATACTTTTGTATATTCTAATTTTTGTGTTTGAACAGCAGGCAAGAAGACAAAAAGTTCTGGAATAAATGGTAGTAAGAATTACCAGAGTTCAATGTCTCTTAATTTCCTCCTGAATCAGGTTTTGATTTGTTATCGTTGTTCCCAAATATCTAAACTGTGCCACATTTACAAAACACCTGTTTCCTATCTTTATGTCATGATTTTGCCCTGCATTTTGATGAAGAGACAGTAACATATACTTAGTTTTCTGTGTGTTTACTTCTGGACCAACCTCCTTACTTTCGTCAATTAAAGTTTGTGTACTTTTCTTTATGGTATCTATATTATCACCCAGTAGATTCACATCATCAGCATAGACCAACTGTGTCCCATTTAATTTTAATCCCACCCGGATGTTCCTAATGGCATATTCTAAAGCAAAGTTGAAAAGCAGCAGCGATAAAGCATTTCCTTGTTTTAGAGCATCCTGGATAGCAAATTTATCAGACAAATGTTTACCTATACAGACTTCACTATACGTTTTGTTTAAACACATTTTAATCAGTCCATTTTCATGAGTACCCCAAAAAATCTATCAGAATATTGTACAATACTTCCCTCCTAACTAAATCAGAGGCTTTCTTGAAGTCTACAAATAACTGATGTACTGACTCATTGTATTCCCATTTCTTTCTCCAGTATCTGACGAATGCAAAAGATCTGATCCGTAATTGATTTGTTACATTGAAACCCACACTGATGATCCCCAATAATTCCATCTATGTATGGATTTAATCTTGAGAGAAGAATAATGGATAAGATTTTGTACGAAACTGATAGCAGTGATATCCCTAGATAATTACTATAGTCAGTTTTATCACCTTTCTTGTGAACTTGCACAATAACAGACTCCTTCCACTGAACAGGCTATTTTTCCTTATTCCAAATAGAATTGATTAGTTTATGGATCTTAGAACATAATATTTCATCTCCTGCTTAAATAAGTTCTGCTGGAATTTGATGACTGCCTGGCAATTTATACCTTTTCAATTTTGCAATAGCAAGTTCAACCTCATAAGGGCTAGGTTCAGGTACTAATGGCTCAGCTGTATGTATTTCTGTCTTCCTAGCATCACTGACCCTGTGTATATTCAATAACTGAGAAGTAGTTCTTCCACCTATTCAAAATGTTGTGGGAATCTGCAAGAAGATCACCATTCTCATCCTTCACTAAATTACTTCTACATTTGTGTTACAGAAATTAGAGATAAAAAATTGGTCAAAATGAAATACATGCATCATAAAATTCTCATTATTACAAGAACAAAATAAAATCCAGATTAAATCTCTAAGCAAAATATCTTCATCTGGTAGCTTAATGCAATCCTGAGCTAAATACATCACTGCATAAAGATCTGAAGTTGCTTCTTCTTCCCCCAAAAGTGAGTGTCTTAATTCCTTTCTCCGCAACAATACACAGATAACAGAATAAAGAAATTATCATTCTACAAAACCCAGGTGGCCATTGCTCGTCAGATCTTTTTAAGATTTAAAAAAAAAATGTTAGCAAACAAATCACAAAATAATAACCAGTGTTAGACAATGTGATAGGATTACTCTTCTTGTTGTTTCATAATTAAGTTTTACCTCTGAAATTATTCAAAAAGTGTAATCACTTTCCCAACCTAGAGTCTCAATATTGGCTGTCATTAAATGAAGAAGTTTAGAAAAGAAACAATACACACTTTCACTGCAATGTAATTAGCATTTACTTGGTAATACCACACAAAAACATAGCTGAATGGTTCAACTGTCCTGACGACAACCACTGTTCATATAAGTTCCACATAAGCCTTATATGCACATGTACTTCGGCTATGGCAATTTAGTCATAGCAGATTTTGGTCAGTTACTGGCAAAAAAGAGAGAGAGAACAAAAGAAAGACATAAAGCAGATTCAGTTTCTTACAGAATTAATATACTCTAGTACATAATTTTTAATACCATAAATATATTGCTGTCGAAAAAACAGGATGAGAGGATCTGGACTGAATTTATCTGGCTCAGAAAAGGAAGCACTAGTGACAAGCTTTTGTAAACAGAGCCACAAGGTTCCACACGAGGAGCGGAATTTCTTGAGTAGTTGAGTGACGTCTCAAGCAGGACTCTGGCTCTGTGGAGTCAGTTAAATTACTGACTTGAATTTTTATGACCCACTTTTGTGACAACAACTGTTTGAGTGACTCATGGACACTTTGAACTTGAAATGAAATACTGCCATCCTTAATTTGAGTAACATACTGTGATAAAATAACCCATAACTAGGCAACGGATTGTTAAAACACGTGTCGTGGCATGTTTCATGGTAACAGATAAAACAGAGAATAAGAGAGAAACTGTAAGACATGGTGACTTCTATTCAGGCTGTGTGGAAGTTATAAAAGGCAGTGGATTCGTGAATTCGAGACAGTACAGACAAGTCCGAAATTCAGAAAGCAGAGAGAGATCCATCAGACAGACAGACGTTCAGAAGGAGTTCAATGTGTGAGCTGTTATAAACTGATTGTAATTGTAAAGAAGTGCCAATGAACACAACTGTAAAATCCAGAACCCATTATCATTAGTCATGCTAACCCCCGATATGTGACAATATGCTTTTTTCCTGTTCTGAAACAAATTTTCTAAAAGTGTTATAAATTTTCAACATAAAATTCATTCCTCACGTTAAATTACTTAACAGGGAATTATTCAAAGTTGTGTAACTTCAGGTGCATGATTCTTTGTTGAGCAGTTTTAAAATATCAAGCTTTGTTAAGCAAAAAATTGTTATGCAGTGTAAAATGGCACCACTCAAGGATATGATCAGTTTTCTCTCCCAGTAAATTAACAAATATTCACTTTTGAAAATCACACACGGGCATCTGTCACTTGTATACATCTTGGATCCTATTTTGCAACACATGAACTAGATACTAGAAAACCAGAATGATGCAGCTCTAACTCATGGCACAAGAGCTTCCGCTGCCACGCACACTTCATTATTAGTGTTGAAATTTTGTACTCAAACACAACATGACTCTTCTTATCAATGGAATACAAGATTTAACTGACAGCAGTATTTACAAGCTGAAAGAAGTTTGATATAAATTGTGAATTCTAAAAATCAAAACCAAACTGTATAGCACTATCCACAAATATTTATGAAGATAATTTAAAAACTTCAATTGTTGAACACTGCCATTAGTTACCAACATGACTGCATAATTAAAATAACTTCCTTCAATCTGTGACAGTCCAAGTTAAAAATAATGAAATCATATGCCAACAAAAAAATTGGTCAAATGCTTGTAAGACAATTTTGTGGTTTTCTATTGCCATGAACTTCCAATTTTTCATAAAATTTGATTTTTCTAGTTATCTAATACTATTACATTTTAATAAATATCTGAGTAAAAAAAATAACTACACAATCTATTTAAAAAAAACTGACTCAATGCGTAGATCATATTGCAAAACTGTGAGATGAACTAAGAAGGTCCTGTCCCTCCTCAGCTGTCAGGGAAAGACTGGAATCAGTGTCAGTAATGCCACTTCTCTGGCCTTTTCATAAACCATGCACAATTCGGGTAACAAAAATCAGTATCTCATTAACTGCTTACAGTTCAAATATTTCTTTTGAGGTGGATACACTTACTGTGTGAAACAAACTCTTACAGCATGACACCTTCCCACTTCCTGTAACAAACTACAGCTTATAAAATACTGACAACTGTTCAGTGCTTTGATGCTGTTTGGCCTATAAGATACCACAAATAAATGCAAATGGACTCCATATACTTCACTGCTGGTAATCCTTCACAGCAGCTTATCACCTCTCCTATCAGAAGTGGCACACAGTCACTTTAATCACAATTAAAGAACTGCTGGGCAATGTCTTCTATTGCTCGTGGTGCCTCTTCTTGGTCAATGGGTGGGTCTTCTCTCTGAGCATGCAAGTCTCTGTGAAGTTTCCAGTTGTTAAGGATATATGTGTATTCAGCTACCTTCTCAACATCCTCCAGTTCATGGTAAACATGAACCAGACCTCGATAGTCATATTCAAGACCAGAGTAACTCTCTCCAAACAGTTTCAAGCCTAAAATGAAAGTAATTTCTTCACTACTGTGACAACCCTGAATGTCCCTCAAAGCAGCGTACTCACTAAACAGTAATGGACACTGAATGAATACTTTACTATACACTGTTATGATAAACAAGCAGTCAGGGCTGTTTCTAACATAATCAAATCCCTTCTTTATTCCGAAGCTTCAGCCCTTACATACCCAAGTAAGGTGCCTGGCATGAGCATTAGCATTTCTATCTCAGCTACACTGAAACCCCATTTAAGGTTCATCTTAGGATCACTGGATTCTGGTACTAAATTAAGGGAAACCTTAAATGGAGGAAATTTTTTGGCAAGATTTCCAACATGGTATCACGAAATTGAGTGTTAAATGAAAGAATTCCTTAAATTACAGAACATTAAATGTGGGTTCCATTGTACAGTAGAACGCTGATTAGCCAAAGTAATCAGTGCCAAAAATTTGAATAAATGAATTTAATTACTATCCTGAAATATACGTATGTAAGTCAATAAGTAAATTACAAATGGATATAGAACTTAAACAAATAAGAATACTGATTTGAAAAATGCTTTTATTTCTCAACATAATCTCCCTGAACACTGAGGCACTTGCCCCATCATTTCACAAGCCCGTGAAAACCAGCAGCATAAAATTCTTTGGGCTGCTGTCAGAACCAGGCGGTGACTTCCCATTCTACAGCTTCATCGTCAGGAAAATGTTCAGCTGAAAGATGATGTTTAAGAGGGCTGAACAAATGGAAGTCACTTGGAGCAAGGTCGGCGCTATACGGAGGATGCTAGAGGACTTCCAACTTGAAATTTCACAACGCCTCATTTGTCTTGTTGGCAGTCTGGGGACGTGCGTTGTCATGCAAGAGCAACACGCCTTTGGTGAGGAGTCCTGGTTGCTTCCGTTGAATGGCCTTACGAAGTTTCCTGAGGATGTTACAGTAGGAGTCAGCATTTATGGTTTGCCCTTGAGGCTGGAATGCAGTAAGCAGTATGCCTTCGTGATCCCAGTCACCGCCTAGTTCCGACAGCAGCCCAAAGAATTTTATGCTGCTGGTTTTCAGGAGCTTGTGAAATGATGGGACAAGTGCCTCAACGTACAGGGAAATTATGTTGAGAAATAAAAGCATTTTTCAAATCAATACTCTTACTTGTTTAAGTTCTATATCCATTTGTAACTAACTTATTGACTTACCCGCGTACTATTATAACACTATTATAATGTACTGTACTACGAATAATACAAACCAAACAAATTTTAAAACAGGTGAAACATAAAAAATTAACATTTTCAAACATTTTATTTCAAAAAGTACAACAATGATGTTTGTTTAGCAGATGAAACATGTATTCATCTGGCTTTTCATATGAATTCATTTTTCTCAACAAATTAATTACTTCCATTTTGTCCGCCATTGTCAGAACAACACGTTTGCTTTTAGTTAGTTATTGGAGAGGGTGGGTTTCCCCATGCGTTTAGACCAGTATTGGTCCATTGTGCTTCTCTCTATGATATTCTACAAGTCTCTATACCCTACCGATATTGGTCCATACCATCAGTCCCGACCGAGCCAGCGAGTTCGGCCTCTACTAGCTTGGCGGTATCTATAATGCTTCCCCCATCTATCAGAGGCGTTAGAGACTATTGTTGGGTGGGAAACGTCCTTGAATTTGGCTCAGTGACCTCCTTTGGAGATATGAGGTTCTTTTACATGCCGTAAAGCTACGACACGGGACCCACGGCTTAAAGTCCCTTCCAGAGGACTTGTTCCCTGAATTTTTCCGCCCTTAAAAATTCCACGACCTCTGCCGGGTTTGAACCCGTGTACCACGAGTCATGAGGTGGGAATGTTACCTCTAGACTACGGAGGCCGCTACACGTTTGCTTTTACTTGGCATTTCAAATTTATCAGCATCCATAATAACAGGATTGGTTTGAAAATCAAATAGAACATAACACTAAACAGTGATATGTCACAATGGTGGCTTAGAACAAACTGGAATGGATAGGAATAATGTCCGTGTGTGTTGACTCAGCAAGTGAAGACAGAGTCCACATTCCTTGGTTGTGGTGATTCAGTTAACTGGCAATTTGAATAATCAACACTCTACTGTATTTGATTTTAGTTTTATTTATAACCATGGTGTTATAGTTCAATTATACTTACTATGTTCAACAACAATATCACCAATGTTTTACACTCGGATCTTCACACAGTATACAACCAATTACATACAATTCAAATAAGATACTTTCTTCAAATATAATTAAGCCACTGCATGCAGAATGAACATCACTTAGAACATAATAATGCAATGTATCATCTGTTAACATACTCTTAAAAAGAAAAACGAGTGCAATACTCACTGATGGCTATGGATCGAAGGTATAGTTTCTCAGCCTTCTTATATTTCTTCATGTGATAGTTGTACAAACTGGCAAGATGGCCAATAGATAACCCAACTTCATAGTCTTCTGCTCCTAGCAGCTCTTCTTTTATTGAAATTGCTTTCAAGTGCATTGTTTCTGCTTCCTGGGAAAGAAGAGTAGGTTCAATTTAAAAAACATTTCAATGGCAAGAGTTCTGTAAGATTTTGCAACACAAACTACAGTTCATATTTGTACTGAAGTCTGAAGCAAAAGGGGTATGTTAGAAGATATATGAATACGTCCCACCAATGGTTTATCTATTTCACTCATACTTGTTCAATCAAAGGGATACCTTGTGAAATCTTCTTTGTGGTGTTTTGTAAGGAAGAATAAAAGATTATTAGAGTTCATAAAAATGATATAATAAAATCGATACACCTTAAATTTACATATGACTCATAATACTTATGCTGAATATAAATTAACTTTATGAAATTACTGCCTTTACTGTACTCCTTTTAAAATTTCATGTCTCTCTTCTGATAAGCCAAGGACATTAATACTAACAAATACAAGAGTCATACCAGAAACTTCTTCATGCTCTGATACAGGCGTCCCAAGTTCCCAAAATGCTTTGCTGTCTGAACATTCTTCTCCCCAAAGGTTGCCATGGCCAACTTCAGGGCAGACATGTGTAGATCCTCAGCCTTCGATAACAGGGCATGCATTCCTGGCAATATAGTAAAGGTGAAAAATGAAACAGAAAAGATATGGCAGGAGCTGATCATAACCTAATTTGGGGTACTTTCTGGCATTTGCCTGGGACTCAGTAAAAGTACACCAGGCCAAACATGACAGATGGTCTCCAGGCTGAGATACGATACAGGAACCTCCTGAATATGAAGCACGAATGCTAATTATATATCCGTGACATTCAGATGGATATTAAGTATATGAAATGGAAGTTAAAAGTGATATCCAACATTCAGTGTCAAGTATTTCCTACTACAGAAATATCTGTATTAAGCTTACTGCAAGACCATGCATTAAGTGTACTTCATTAAGGAGATGGTACATTTAAGTTTATTTCAAATTTACTAATTCTTCATAAATCTGAAAACTTATCTCTCATGGATGATTGTTTTGTACAGCTACAGCAAATGTAGAGGTTATTCAATGCTGAATAACATGAGAGGATGATTGTGTACTGCAAACAACCTCCAGTTTAAGATTTTTTGGGGACCAGTAGATTTTAAAACTAAATTCAGAAATATCTTAAACGGTGATAATTTAACTCTAATTTTATTGACCTCAGATCACTGAAACTGAATATTAAATGAGGGAAAATCTTAAAGTGAGGAATGTTAAATGGAGGTTTCATTATCAGTCTCAGCTGCTGGCTTGGGTTTGAGGGGATGTCCAGCAGATGCAGAGGAAGTATTCTGTGGGAACTGTCTCAAGGAAATGCCAACTGCAACTAAAGAACTTGACTTGCTAATGACTCCTGTTTGACTAAACTACAGTGGATATAATCAATGCTCTCTATTGGACATGATCATACCCATACCTGTAGAAGAATGAAAATTTATATCACACCTGAACTGTTGGGCATTGTGTCAAGTGCTATTTCTTCCAGAATTAAAGCTTTAACCCTTTTCACTGATGCTAGCATAAGATGCTCTTCTGGCAGCAGTTTTTCCATTATGAGTATGGCTTTCTCTGCATGATCACTGCAAAAGCAATTCATTGAAATACATGAAAACAGAACTAACTATGATGATATTTTGTTTTACAAGCATTCAATTGCCTAATAAACTTTCAATTTAATACATTTTAAAAATTAATATTCTGATCTGTATAATGGATTTTCATTTAAACCGATACACTATCCTTGCCACAGTCAATCACAGTCTTATATTACATGCTTTAATTAAAGCATAAACAATTTGTTAAAAGTTTTACCTAACCAGCATAATAAATGAGTAAATACATATAAGTATACTTCACATGTTTATAAATCACAAATACAGAACTACATCACAATACAGTCAAAACTTTCAGAAGTTAAGTATGTACAAACAGATGGATGTGACATGACATGACTTTCCCACTACACGTTCACTTTATATAGTGTATACAAAGAAAGCATAAAAATGCAAAAATTCACTTATGACTACATTACATAAACATTAAATCCAGGTACACTTCTTTACCATGACATAATCTCAATGTTCACAAAGTAAAAAGAAACAGATACATTAACAATGATGGTAATAGTCTGTATGAGGGAGTCAGTAAATAGGTCACAAATGGAAGTAAAACAGCTGTAATGGATGGAATTGGCTTTCTATGTGTATCACTAGGTAGCAGTAGAGTCCAGCTTCATGACAGTTTCAGTAGCAGACATGCATGCACATGTTTCGAGGCTGGTTCAGCAGTCAAAATAGCAACCGTGCTTGAGATGTGTACCACCGAAAATCATTGTTCTGTTGTGCATTGTGGTCAAAAGAACTCAATGCAAAGAATATGCATAAAGAATTTTTTCCTGTTTACAGTGGGAAGTGTCTCTAGTGTAAAGTGGTTCACAACTTGGTCGAGAAACATGGCAAACGTTTCACTGATGATGAAGAGGTTGAAACGGAGGTGTGGAAATGGCTGAGACAACATTCAAACAACTTCTGTGCTGCTGGTTCCAACCTACTGGTAAAGCAATGGGACAAGTGTATCGATACTGGTGGAGAATATGTAAGAATTAATTTCTTTACATGTTTTACATTTTATATCCATGTGGTGTTGCAGAAGGATGGAGAAGATCAGTTGGACCGATTATGTGAGAAATGAAAAAGTGTTATTTAGAGTCAGTGAGCAGAGGAATATCCTACATGAAATAAGAAAACGGAAGGCTAATTGGATTGGTCATATCTTACGCAGTAACTGCCTTCTAAAAGAAGTTATTGAAGGAAAGACAGAGGGGCGGATAGAAGTGACCAGAAGACAAGGAAGAAGACGTAAGAAGATGCTGGATGACCTTGGGGACAGAAAAGGATATTTTCATTTGAAGGAGAAAGCTCTAGATCACATAAAGTGGAGGAACTGTTTGGAAGAGACTGTGGACCTGTTGTCTTGATAGATTACAGATGAATGAATCCATTTGTGACCTACGTGTACTTGTATACTTACCGAGCTTTAAGAAACCTTCCAGAGCTATATTCATACACATAGAGTGCATAGGCCAGATCCTCATGAGCTATAGCAACATATAGATTGAACTTGCCAAATATTGCTTTACGAATTTCCAAAGCAGTCTGTAAGAAGACAGTTCAGGGTTACCATAAAATTTGTAACTTCATGTTCTAAAAATAAGGGCAGAACATTATTTTTAAATATCGAAATATTATGCAACAGGCCAAACATTTGCACTCCAAATTAAAACTGCTCTCTTAAAATCAGAACTAAAACTGACTACATAAATCACTGCACAATAGTCTGTAAGATAATGAATGTCATACTTCACTGGGAAATCCCTCTGCAGTGGTTTTCTTTAGATGCTCACGTGGGAAGGCAGTGATGTGAATGTGTGTGAATTTACCTATGAGTTTCTTTTCTCCTTCCACATTTAAGTAATTAAAAACAAGCAAGGCAGCATGTGAAGAGTGAAGTACAGTCTGTTTTTGTCGTCTACAGTGCCCATGTTCCAAGAATAAGAGATAACTGACATTGACTAAACTAGTTGCTGGATTGTTGATTAAATAAATAATTTTGTGTCAAGTATGATTGGCTTAATTATCAAAATAAAAAATTTGGCTATATGCTATATAACCAGATTGGGACTTCTGAAGTGGAGAAGAAGATGGGAATGAAGATTTCTAAGGAATGGACACACAAGGAAGTCACATATTATGGTGGAATTAGATGGTGACAGCTGTTCTCTTTAAGAAAAGAAAAACACTATATCAGTGGGACATTACACTGCTAAAAATTGACTGCATACACTGACAAAGAGCTCCTTGGAAATCTGTGTTTAAAGAGTCAATTTCATGAAAAGTTAATAAGTGAAAAATTTTTCATACGGCATATAAGGTGGCCAAAGAAAATCAGTCTTTTCATAATTCTGAAACTGAAATACAAGAACCAAATGAGATTAACATGGGCCATATTCTTCGTTCAGCTAACATATTAAGATCCCTAACATTACTGATGAAATGAGAAAAAATGTGAGTAAGAAAACTAACATCAAACAGTAAAATTTCATTCATAGTTAAAGAGTCAACCATGGTGAGTAAAAAAAATCTACTTTAATGAAGTACATTCAAATTTGTATACTGGACAGTGGAATAAACTAAAGTAAATTTGTTTTTGAACTAGATCAAATTTGCATTACTGCAAAAGGGATTTCTGGCTGCTCAACTGTTTTCAGGCAAACAGAATAACTGAAAACTATTTAAAAACACACTTAGTTGGTGTCACATGTGATGGTGCAGCTGCTATGATAAGTAGTAAAAGTGGGTTACTAAAAAGATGAAAGAATTTTTCCACCTTTGATTGTGTGGCACTACACTATCAAAGATCAGAACTATCAGTTGGTGATATGGTGAAATTAGTTACAGGTATCAATAGATTTAAGGCATTTCTTAATAAAATTTACGTTGTACAACACACCACATAAAAATGCCACAGAACCAAAAGTGTGTGCAAATTAGCTACACACTGGACTACTAAAAATTGGCTGAATTTTAAGCACATGATGTGTAGCATCATATTTTTGGTCAGTTTCAGCTGCCTGGAATAACTATCAGGCAATAGTTAATCGTCTTCAAGAAGCAAAGAATGATTCAATGCAGGACAAAATGGAGAGATGCACATATAAAGGATTACAGGAAAAAAAATTACAACTACAAACTTTATATTAGACTTACAATTTATGTGTGATGCTCTTCAAGAATTAACTGACTTAAACTCAGACTTGCAAGAGCATAACATGGCTATATACAAGGCACTGATATTTTTGTAGTACTGAAATTGAACTAGACACATTTTCCACGATGACATATTGGGGGGGGGGAGAAAAAAAGTTGCAGACTGTTAATATTTTCACTGTACTGGACACTTTGTTATTCTGGCATCCAATGTAGATACATTTCATTGCATGTGAGATGAAACTTACCTCATACACACCAACACTCTGCCTAATGGAGTCAAAGTTGAGCAAGAAGAAACCAAAATCTAATAGCGTGTCTGAATATTTTGGGTGCTCCTTGTCAAAGACTTCCTTTGCCAAACATACAGCTTGTCTGGCCAGAAGTCCTGCCCTCTTAAACTCTCTTTTCACCACACATGATTTTGCCACCTGACGTAAAACATCAATGGTAACACGAGAGGGAAGACCTGGTTTCACTTCTTTTAATGCTTCTACACTCCACCTGTAAGCCTGTTAAAAGGTTAAATGTAAACACATGATCAGGTACACAGCATTTCAGTACAGTTTCAACAAAATGCCAAATAAAATTCCTTCTATCACTCTTATTTTTCTTACTGGAATGTGCCACATTGCCTTGTTCAATTCACAGCACCATTTTTTTTTGTGAAAACTGATTAAAAGATAATCTCTGATATATGTAATGCATTCAGCAATTTAAGGGAATGGTATTTATACATGGTAATATTCACACAATACTAGAAGAGCCACTGAAGTTTAACAGGAAATCATTCTTTTTGTTTCCTCATGCTTCTCCCTCTTTTTTATTTTCTTTATTCCTTTCATACAACTATCTTATTCCTCCATTTCTCCACTAAATCAGTGAACTTAGTAACATCTTTATCTATCAGACTGCACGGTTTAAAACACAGAGCGCTGCCAATTGTGTAAGTGCATGAAAAACACTATGGTGTGAGAATGACGTACAGTCACATAACACACATACAATGTCACAAACTTTCTCCCATTATACTGTATATACAGATAAGTAGTTAATTAGCCAGTCACGGTAGCCGAGCGGTCTAAGGCATGTCCTGTCTTCGCTCGCTTGGAAACCGGGATCGTGGGTTCAAATCCCACTCAGGGCATGGATGTTTAGTTTGTGTGTGCGTTTTTCTGTGCTTGTGTACAGGTACAGGCCTTGCGACGAGCTGATCACCTGCATAAGGAGTCCTACTGAACGTGTAAGATCTAGAAAAACCGAAGTGAACGGAGAAGTTCATGGAGGTAGGCCTAGGCCCACTGGGGCTGCAGTGCCAAGGAAAAAAAAAGTAGTTAATTAAAGTTACTGAAATATGTGATCAGCTTCATTTAGGTTTTAATTGGTCCTTAAAATGAATAACATGTCATACCTCATCATATTCACTCCTACTGAAGTGTAAAACAGAGAACTCAGCAAAAAGTCCAGCAAGATTTGTTTCCTCATTTACTGCATGTAGCCTATCCACAAGTTCCAATGCTAGACGATACGTTATTTGTGCACCATCAAAGTGACAGAAGGCAGCCTGAGTGTGAAGAAGCCTACAAATGAGGAAGGATACAACAACAGTTAACATTAACTTTTCAACAATCTGCCTCTAGCATGGCATATCCCATGCAAAAATTTTCATGCATGCATTTGAATATACATTGTCTACAGAGCATACATCACAAGCATAATACAAAAACTAGGAGCAAATAACGCAAAGCTAAATTAATTAGGAATGACAATGGCAAGCTGTGTCCTCTCTCTAATCCAAAGATTAAAATATTCACAATGGTTATGAAACATGGTCTCTTAGTTTAAGGAAGTACTAATATTGAGGGTGCATGAAAATAAAATTGGAGGTAGGAAGAATACAAGATAAATAAAGATACAAAGAAGTGGAGAAAATAACATAATGAGGAGCTTCATACTTTGTATTTCTTATTCAATACTGTGTGATCACATCGGAAAGGCCATGTACAAAACACTGGGGAGGGGGAAAACAAAATATGCATATAAATTGTAGTTATAAAACCAACTGTGAGTGGTAGGAACAGATGGGAGGATAATATAAAAAAAGACCTTTGAGAAATAAGGTGTAAAGATGTGAAATGTTCTGAAGTATAACATAGGGTACAGTCCAGTGGTGTGTTTTTTGAACAGGGCAGCCAGCATTCAGGCACATATATGAAAAAGAGATTTCATTTGAGCGAATGCACCCTGGCATTATCAATGTTCTGGTTATTGAACTTTTCCCTTACAGACATTATTACACACACAAAAAAACTCCATGACCTGTGTCCACAAGAGAACTATACAAACTGAGCGACTGCCGCTTGTCAGCAAAGTTAGTGTCAACTTTTAGCATTTTGAGGATTTTGCGTGTCAGCACAACGGATCCCCATGGCTGTTAATCTGGAGCTGCTATTTCCTTGAAATAGCTCCTTAATTATCCTCACAAGGCTGAGCGGACCCTGTTCCAGACCCACTATTTCTCAGAAAATCTGGTAGCACCAGGAATCTAAACCAGGACCTCTGGATCTGTAGCCAGGAACTCTGACCACTAGGCCACACAGGTGGTCTATTACACAACACAACAACAAAATTCTTGATACGGATCATAAATTCACCCTTACAGAAATTTGGGACAAATATTAACATTTTTAAACACCAAATTAAAAACAAAACCACTTTTGAAGAATACTTGTCAAGAAATTCATGCCACATATGCTCATGAAACAGTGTTTGGATATGGCTGGTAGTATGGTTATTCTCATTCTATATTGTGCAGTATATTAATGTGGAGAGAGGTCATCTGGTTTGAGAAGAAGTAGTATACCTAAAAGAGTAGAGAAGGGAATTATAATTAATGTAAAACTTGATGAATATATTTATTATAACTGTGTGCTGAAATAAATTCCACATGAATACACATGCACTTATAACAGGGATTGAATATAAAAAATTAAGAGTTCACATTATTGAGTTTCTCGATACAAACATATTTTCAAGAACATATGAGTATCCCTTCCATAATGTGAGGGCAGGGTGTAATTGTGCTCAAGACCATACATCATGTATATACATGACCAAAGTTAGTGTTATATCAATGTAGGCATTACAAAATAAGTATTTATGGAGTTTCAACAACCGGACTCAAAATGAACATCAGGTACTGAGTTTACTGAGGACATGTCAAAAAACCAAAAGCAACTGGAGAATGTGAAATGTTTTAAATATTTGGGTAGCTTGTTAACAGATGATGGAAGGTATACGTGTGAAATTAAATCTAGGATTGCCATGGCAAAAGCTGCATTTAGCAGGAAGAAGAATCTTTTTACCAGCAAATTGGACCTAAATTTGAATGTGGTGTTGGAGAAGGGTGGAGAAGATCAGTTGGACTGATTATGTGAGAAATGAAGAAGTGTTATTTAGAGTCAGTGAGCAGAGGAATATCCTACACAAAATAAGAAAATGGAAGGCTAATTGGATTGGTCATATCTTATGCAGTAACTGCCTTCTAAAAGAAGTTATTGAAGGAAAGAGAGAGGGGCAGATAGAAGTGACCGGAAGACGAGGAAGAAGACGTAAGAAGATGCTGGATGACCTAGGGGACAGAAGAGGATATTCTCATTTGAAGGAAAAAGCTCTAGATCGCATTAAGTGGAGGAACTGTTTTGGAAGAGATTGTGCACCTGTCGTCTTGACAGATTACTGGTGAATGAATGAATGTAAAAAAGGCATTCACAGATGGAAGCAAAATTAGGAAAACTCAGAAACTGCAGAAAATTACATAATGGAAAGCTTCTTATGTATGCTTTACCTACTACTGGTTGATTATATCAAGAAATTTGAAAGGATCTGGGTATGTATATAATACAGAGGAATAGCAACTACTCTGTATAAACAAACACTGTGGTTGGAAAGCCAGATCAATGGGACAGCACCGACTCATGGTAAGAGTTGAATGATAGGCTTTTGCAGCCATAACAAACAATATATTAAGTTTGAGTATCTAGAGGCTGCTCAGGAAATACTCCTGGTTCTACAGTCAGTCTGTCACTAGCTCATTCTTTCATTCTCTATGTGCTGTCACTTCCAAATTTGTAACTCTCTATGTAAGGATACTGCTTCAATAGACTCCATCAGAAGCAGGAATAAATTGTATTCCTTACTATGACACATACTTGTGGTAACATTCAAGTAATTTACGCCAATATTTGACTGTTGGCTCTGCACACTGGCATAAATCTTGGCATGCTAGGAGAACCTTTTCACTTTCAGCAAACCATCCTGCATCACTTAGGAAACCACCTGCAAAAATGTAAACAAATATATGTAAGTAGTTTATTGACATGAGAGTTTGTCTCTTTCTCAGTTTCTTTAAAGATGCTTTCCAACTGTGAAGTTGTGTAGCACTAAATGCAAAGGTGAACAAATCCATTACAATATTACAAGACAATCAAAATTTTTATGGCCAAAGAAAAAAGTGACTACTAAAATTTGCTACACCAAGCAGCATTGCAAAGATTCATTCACATTTTGATGTTGAAATTGTGATGGCTGCTTAAACCTTGTAAGAGTTCACTACAGTAATTAAATATGAAGAAAGTGTTGGCCTACACTCCTAGGTGGCACCCTAAGGCCATCAACTCTATTTTGACTGCACATTATATATCAAACTTACATTCAACTGTCTCACAACTCTGGGAGTCATGCAACCTATTCACTAAGACTGCTGCTGCTGGTCCTGACTATACAGCCTTCGCAAGCAGAGCACAGAAAACAGTGCATTCTCTTAAGATCTAAAAGTTTGTGATGATGGTAAATTGTAAAATTAATATGTTGTTGGACATTATCCATCATCTTGTCTAGCTCTGTCTATTGGACCCAACTGAGTAGGTTTTACCTGAAGACGGGGACAGAATCCAGTCCCCGAAATGTTGTGTTTTTTAAAAGAAACAGGATGGTTTTTTAAGAACAGACAAGATGATGGATAATGTCCAACAACATATTAATTATAAGTGCATTCTCTATCGGTGCATGTTTATTTTTTGCTATATCTTTACCATACTTCAAACTTTCTCCCATTTGACTTTAATTTTGATGCACTTGCAACAAAGAGCTGAAAAAATGCTGTTGTTTACCACGTTTCTATCCGTCTGTGTGTCTGTCAACATGCAACAAGCCACGAACTGCTGAAAGGTTTTTCATTAAAATTGATATACCAAGTTTTACTAAAAAGATGAATTTATACCTGTAACAGGCTGTGGAGGCCCATAGGGTTGTGAGATATTGAGGCTCACACACATTTTCTAGACAACTGGCTCACAGATGGTGGTAAGGTTTCCAGCCTTATGCGCCCCCACCATTTACCTCCAGGAAGATTCCTGGTACTCATTTCTGTTTGAGGCTGAGTCGATCCCAGGCCCACGGTGCAGCTGGACAATCTCACCGCCATCTGGATGCCGACTTTCTAGCAAATGTAGAGGCCTCAAGGTTTCACAACCCTATGGGTCTCCACAGCCTATTACAGGGACAGCTTTACCTTTAACTTTAACTTTTACAAAATTTGACAATGCATTACAAGTTCGATGACAACAGACAATAATGAACATGAAGACATAAATGTTTTATGCATATTTTGAGCATAGCTTGCTAAATAATTATCAGGACAAGAAGTGTTTGAAACAAAAGTTTAGAGGAAAATAAAACCTATTTTATGCCCAATATACATTTTCTCCACAACACTTATGGTTTTCAAGATAATTAGACAAAACGGCATGAATGCACCAGAATTACTATAGCGTGTGTGTGTGTGTGTGTGTGTGCTTCCTAGCTTGTTTGTTTTGATGTGAGGCTTCACCAGTGTTTTCAATAGTATAATAATGTCTACAAACAAAATGTTTTTTTAAATGCTAGGTTAGTAGATACAACTGGGACAAAAACCTTCACATTTACAAACATCTCTGTCAAATACCTCAACACAACAGCTAACTGAAGTGAGACTGGACTAATCAAGAAAGCTGATAAAACATGGCAAGCAGAGGAAAAAGATAAGTAACTAATGTAGAAAAGACAACAATCCAAAGTCCTTGAGGACAAACACTGAGAAACGAAAAGAAATAGAAAACAGTATGGATAAACTATAGAATAGTCAGATACACAGGAGTCTATAAATACAACTCACATCTACTCGCCACTTACAGGTCTTCATTTGAATATTCTTGCACTATGCATCATACAAATATTTTTATACTGTCATGTTACTGTATTATTATTGTACTTACCCAAAGAAAGTTAGAAAGAATTCATTAAGCATATATATTAGGGGCGTTCCATAAATAATGCCTCCTATTTTTTTGTGTTAATATGTAACATCTTAGATGGATGTTGGTGGTGTTGCAGTAAAGGTTGAACCTTCCCGCCAATCTACTGTTAGTTTGGTTGTCGTGCGACAGATAGTGACAGCAGAGCAGTCTACCAAAATGGTGTCTGACATAGAAGTGCGCATGAAACACAGATGTGTTATTGAATTTCTCACTGCCGAACAAATTGTACCCACTGACATCCATCGACACTTGCTAAAGGTGTACGGAGACAATACAGTGGAAGTCAGCACAGTGAGGCGGTGGGCAGTGCGTTTCAACAGTGGCGAAAGTGAAGTGCACGACAAGCCACGCCCTGGGCGTCCCTGCTGAGCTGCCACTCCTCACAATGAACAGCACCTCATCCATACAGATCAGCAGATAATGACCAGGGACTGTCAATTCTGAACGCTACAAAACGACGCTGACTAAGCTGAGAGCCCACATTTCCCGAGTCAGGCCAAAGAAGCAGACAACCTTTTGCTTGCAACACGATAACGCTAGACCCCATACAAGTTTGGCGACCACCGCGCACATGGCAAAGTTTGGCTGGACTGTCCTACCACATCCACCTTATAGCCCAAGTTTAGCACCTTCAGACTTCCATCTCTTCGGGCCTAAGAAAGATGGACTACGTGGGCAACACTTTCCAGACAATGATGCTGTCATTGCAGCTGTAAGAAAGTGGCTAGCCTCTGCTGGCGCAGACTTTTACAGGCGCGGCATACAGGCTCTTGTTAATCGCTGGCAAAAGTGCATAACGAATGGTGGTGATTATGTGGAAAAATAACTGTAAGTAGCTCAAATCTTGCTCTATTTAACTGCATTATTATGCTTTCTGTACCTGTTGTAGTTTTCTTTAAAAAAAATAGGAGGCATTATATATGGAACGCTGTAATATATTATATGCAAATGAAGGTTACCTAATCTGAGTCCAGTATCAATTGTTGCATCCCTTAAAGGTGAATGAGAAAGACACATGCTGCATTTCCTTCCATAGGCAGTAACAAGTTCTTTAGCTACACGTGAACCATGATCCATTACAGCCTGCAGGTAAAACATAAATATTATACCTTACCCTCCATACATTCTGCAGGAAATCTCATTACTCTGAATAATTTGTTAATGACACTTTGTCACCTGCACAAGCAAATTAAGCCAATCACTGCCTAGTAACTAACAGACACTTATACAGTCATGATACTATTCCAGCAGTTGACTGGACAGAATTTGGAACTAACTAAACAGTACATGGTCTTCCTAAAAAGAATAGTTACTCAGTCAGAAATTCTCCGATGTTTCAAAAACCAAAAGATCACCACCAGGTTCACAAAGGCTCATCACTGGACACTGTAGGCCAGCTGAATCCAGTCTCTACCATCACCTCCAATTTATCAAGTGCACATATTATCCCCCCCACCTATCCTTGAACCTCTCAAGTGTTGGATTATACAGCCAATGTTTTCCTACCAAACATCTGTATGCTTCTCCCACTCCCCCTATAATCAGTCACATTCCCAATCCATTTCAGCTTCCTTAACTTAATTGTCCAAACATTAGGTAAAGGTTAGAAATTATAAAACTCCTTGTCATGTAACATTCTTCATTTTCTGGATGTAATTATCACACAGCATTTCACAGTACCTGTAAGGATCATAACGAAACTTACTGAATGTTAAATGCAATCAGGTAGCATATACAAATAAGAGTTACAGTGGAGATATGGTTAAACAAGCATTGCTTATAGAGAGCTCAACATTACTTACACAACACTGTGTGGTTTCGCTTATAAGGTTATATAGGCTTATCTGTTAAAGCAAGAACAATTTTATAATGTGGTGCTTGCTACTTGCATGTGTCTATCTGCATCCCTCCACCCTATAACAAATGATTTTCATGAAATTTCCTGGTTTAAATCCCAGCCTAAGGCCAGCTACCCTATGGTTTTTGTGGCTTTCCTGTAAATCTTGACAAATTCCACAACAGAACCCTAAAAGAGGGCATGACAACCACTTTCACAACCCTCTCAACTTAGAATTATTATTATTATTATTATTAACTTAATTTTAATGACAACTGACTTCTAAATCACTGTGGTGTAAGTCTTTGAAGTGAACAGACATAAAATTACCTATGAGTATGCCTATGAAAATTACGACAATTACAACCTTACCAAACTGTGAATTTAAGTGTCATATTTTAAGACATAACTTAACCAATTTTAATAAACTGCTGGTGAGCAATATTAAACTCTTCATCATTTCATTAGTGGCTTATCACCTGCTATAAATTGTGGAACCACTTCCCTGTCAAGAGAATCAGTTCAAGATAAGAGTTAAATGTCTATTAGACTGAGCTCTACAACTAATTAGAATATTAATTAGTGGCAGCGGACCATCTTTCAATTTGAAACTTCATTATTAATATCACTGGTGCTACCTCCTAAATTAATTGACTTACCCATTTCCTAATTAATCAACCCAAATTTCTACCACAAGCTTTATTCAAGAAGTCAGGTTGGCTACAACAGAATTTAACAACTTTTTCATAGAAGTAACATAGAATATGCTAACTTCAGTGGTTAGTTTGAAAACATTCTCCCTCAATTTTAAATGGTTTCCAATGCATCTGAATTTCTTGGAGATACCCTTAACATAAGTCAGGATCAGAATGATATTAACAACATTTACAACATAAGACACAATCTGATGCTTAACGAATGCCCTCCAATAAAGATTTATGACACTGTTATCAACTACACAGATCACTCAAAATTTCCGGGAGTCTGGCTAGATAAGCAGCTAAGATAGACTATGCATACAGAAAAGCTACGAACAACTTATGTAAAGTATATTTTGGCCTAAGGGTAGTTAGAAGAGTGACTGGACTAGAGACTCACACATCCTTAGTTATTTTATTACAGCCACACTATGTAATAGTTGGTCATTAACAGGCCAAATAGACAGATTAGGTGTCCATTTCCTCCAACCTGAAGACAGAGACAGTACGTGCCTCAAAAACTTGTCAGTTGACAGATGACAATGCGCAAAAAAAAATCTTCCTATTAGATCATAGTCACAAATCTTCAGAACTACATCTCAGCACTTGTAATCATTGTCATATCTAATTCAACACATACAATTCACAAGGGGTAATTAAACAAACAAGAGAGGTACATAACATAAGACTGCACCGTAATGAGGTCCCCTTAAATCAGCTTGAACGTGACACCTTCTTGTTTGGGACAGACATGCATTAAACCACTAGGGTACTACACCAGGCTATGCAGTAAGGGCCACAAAGAATTCTTCTCAATGGTAACACAACACCTTTGTGTACACGACTCTCAGAATTAACTGTACTCTCTTGTCAAGAAAATAAAGTGATGGTGTCATTTCTCAGACAGGGAAGATGAATCACAGACAAAATTCTTGGAATATGAACCCATACATATGAACTTGTATCTTCAGCTTATTAATCTTCATTACATTTTATCTAAATCCATTATTCACTAATATCATACTTCTCAGATGTTCACTGAACTCAATACATTAATATGTCAGAGTGTTTTAATATTTTCCTTATTGAAGGTACCTTATTCTTTGTATGTCTTAAACACTTAAATTTGGAAACCTGACCATTAGCAAAGATTACATTCATAGAAGTCTGTAATACAAACAGCAAATACTGCAAGAAACGTCTTGTATACAAACTGTTTACATTACAGGCTCACCATCACTTCACAAAGTTCATGACTACTAAAAAGGGGATGGCTTATCATATCAGTGTATTATAATCCATATATTCATCTGCTGTCACACTTACCTGAAAACTTCTGTATAGAAACATGCGCCTATTTGTAATCCTCAGGACTCGACTAAAGACATCCAGATCACTGAACTCAAGTCCAAGTAGACATAGCCTCTTTTCTTTATACAACTAGACACGAAATCAAATGCTTGCATCATTTACATAAACAGACCAAACACATGCCGCTCACTTAACTACAAGTAGAAACAGCCTCTTTTCTTTATACAGCTGGGCACAAATTTAACTCCTTGCATAATTTACACCGCTAGACCAAAGCCATGTAGCTCCTTTAACTCCAAATAGAAACATCCTTTTTTTTTTTACATACAACTGGACACAAAATGAATTCCTTACATCAGTTTTATAAGCTGTGTAACTACTTATCAATTCCTTTAACGTTCTTTAACCACTTTACAGGTGGCCTATAGCTATAATTCAGTGAACAAATATGTTAAAAACACATTTATTTCAAATGTTTTCTCAAATTTCATGAATTTCGGTTGTCACAAGCAGCGATTACTAACACCAAATTCCTACCTTGTAATATAAGTCAAACATTAAGTTGTCGGGCAGTATACGAAGTTCATTTTTAAAACTCTGATAGCTACCAATAACTGCCGAAATTCCTAAATTGTACAAAGAATCTGGCACTCTCACTTCTTCCCGAGCCATTTTGATTTTTAACACAGCTGATCATAGATGATAAGCAGCTGATGTACGCGATGTACACACTGGTCTACTACACGGACCGGTATACCATCGATTGGCAGAGATAGCTATTTCGAACCTACCTCCGAACTATGTCGGGAACCTCCGTGACATCACAAATCCAAGTATATTGTCACTCATTCCATCTATTCGTAGCGTACAGACTATCGCTGCCAAAATAACTGCAGCCACTACCGAGAGCTAAGTCGGTAAAAACGTTAGCTACTATCCACTGCTGCCTATGCCTGTAAGGCCTGCAAAATCCTGTTTTCATAGAACAACGAATAATTTTGCCACTTTTATCTCTTGTAATACGTTGGCTTGTACTTCGTTTTTTAGAAATGTGTCTAATACCACTTCACTCATCTATTAATAATAAGTTTCTCATCAAATTTCCCTTAGAACAATCCAGCATAATCTTACTTAAATGATGGAGTTGTAAACTCTGAATCACAATTATGGAATTTCCAATCTAAAACCTAAAATGCTAAAGGATGCTGATTACAGTGTTGGTTTAGCTTGGAGGAAAGTTATGTACATGTAGTAATCGCATATATATTGTACACATAATAACTGGGATTCCTAAGGGAGCCCATAAATGTATGAATCTGGCTCGTGAGTCCAACTCGGCTCGGGTTCCAATGAGCCAAACTCGTCCATGTGTGGGTCGCCACGCTCATACGTGTGTGTGGTGAAATTAATCCAAACCTGGCTCCTCGCCGAGCCAGACTTGTACGTGTATGGGCCGCCTAAATCAGATAATGCTAATTTCACCTATAATACATCTACTGAAGCTGTCCTCTGACATCTGCTTTATATTGAAGGAGGGTCTACTGTACATTCAGAGAACACTGGGATCTCATGGGAGAAACACTGTCCTTATGGATTGAATGCTGCAGTGGAGAGACACAAATTCTTCTAAAAACTAGGTCTACAATAAGTTCTTCTCATATATTACACAAAACAGAATTGTTTTGCATAAATGTTCTGAAAGACTTGACCAACTGTGTATGAAGTATAGAAGATGGTGTACTTTTTTGTAGTATTGAATTGCATGCCAGACATGAAGATCTTACTAGAATATGACATATAAGTGATCTGCTAGCAACCTTAAGGGATGGGGCTATAACAATGAAGCATATATGAGAGGGGCATACAATGCAGGGCAAAGTCAATTGTCAGAGTAATGGTTCTTAGGTGATACCATTACTTGTAAAGTGGTTTGCCTAATGGCAATTCCTTTGATTACATTAGCTGTCACATCCGAATAACCATGTTGGTTGAGGGGCATCCTGACACAATTCTGGCAGCATGAATTTTCTTAATGTTTCTGTGGGCTCATTGGCTCATAGCACTGGCATGGAGTTTGCATCAACACACAGGTCTTCATTCTGACAGTAAAGTAGTGCTGCACTCTTGTTAAAACTATGTCTATTATGCCCACCCAAAGGTTACATGAGCATGGCGTACAGTGAGATACTTGCCATAGGAATTTTCTCTGCTCCACCAGATAAATAAATGCTGTGCACTACCCTAAGCTTTATTTCTACCACTACAAATTTTCTTTAAATGGCTGCCAGCAGGGTCAGTCCACCATCTTCATCCCCATTCCATATTTGTATTATCCATATGAATAATTTTTTCTATTTAACCTCAAGCCAATGAAGTTTATTTCCAGTTGCTATTTGGCTTTATCTTACAGCGCTTACCTAGCAACAGTATTTCAACAAATTCTGCCATGCTGGCTAGTTTGCATCTATACTTAACACAGAATTAACCATGTGACCTTCTGCTCCTTGTGATAGCCATATAGATTTCTTGTCTGGTAAACAGCATCTGCCTCTTATCTCAGCATCTCCCACCTCATCAAAACTGCTTCATTCACCCATGGACTCAATACATCATTTACACATGATTAGCAGAGTTATTCTCATTGATCTAGCGATTCTAATTTATGGCTATGTCTCCCATGTTAAAATAAATTAACTTTTCAATATGTAATTCTTTGTTAGATTTAGGACTCTTTATTCTCAAAGTGTTACACTTGTGATTCTTCACAGAACTTCTTCAAAAGCAGTGATTTATTAAAAGGCATGTCATATGGTAGTCTCTGGCAATGTACAGGAGAGGAAAGAGAGTTAAATGATGGGGCAAGGCGTCTCAAATGTGGCTGGACACCCCTGACCAGGATATTGTTCTGTGGCAAGTTGAACATGTAACATTTAATATGAATGCGTGAATACATAAGAATTTATCCTTCCTTCAGTTATTTAACAATGTTTTGTTCTTCACTTTAGGCTAAACAACTTGAAATGATGGGTAACATAGTGTGATGACTTAGAAAGAATATCCCAGCAACTGCCTAAAGGAAATGAGGAAAACCATGGATTCAACATAGCCAATCACTAGGCCACAATTCAATACCAGATCTTCCACATACAAAGCAAGAATGCTAAACACTCAACCATGATGCTCAGTTGATGCTTGTTGACATGTTTTATATTCTGTGCCTGTGCACATTTGTGAATAATCTGAAACACAAATGTATATGTATGTATATATGTATGAAGATATAGTAAATGTATTTTATCCTGAGCACTTAAAATTTCTGTTGGCAAGTTACTACGAGACACAATATAAATTATATAATGCTAATTATTTAATGTGTTCAGTATATTTATGAACAAGAAATAAATGGGAGCTATATAAAGTGATCATACTGGTTCTGTGAAATGAGACCATTATATTTAAAACAAAAACAAATTGAATCTTCAGAATTATAACTTGTATCAAGCTTAATTTATGTAAATGATTGTAATGAATTATACAAAACAAATCAGTAATGGTGCAATGATGTGAACATGTATTAGAGGGGTAAAAGGACAACATTACAGTTCTTTTAATAAGCAGTTATTTTCAGAATCTTGTGTGTTTATGACATCATCTTAGATTAGAATTGATCTTGGATCTCTATAATATGGAAATTTCCATGACCAGTTTTAATGAAACTTATATTAGAGTGACAAAAATAAATCTTGCAATACAATACTGAATATTAAGATATTTCTGCAGCATACCACCACAATATTTGAAAATCATAATTTCTGATGAACGGCTGAAAGACTCCAAAGACACAGTATTGAGGAAGATTCAACAGAAACATATTCAAATAGAAGTATATAATATGATGGTGAACCTAACTGAACTCACCTTAGATCACTAAACAACAAAAGAACAATAACAGCTGCTACTTATACACATTTTTATGTAATGCCAAGTATTTATAAATTGGGGTTTGGCATAGTTTTGTCTGAGTATGGACAATAACCAACAAAGCAGGACAAAGTATGTGATACAAAGTAAATCTGATATGTAACTCTTACAGTATATATAATAGTTCACACCCATAGAAATATTATACAGTTCTCAAGAATGCCAGGTTTTATATCTTTCTGATTATCCACTGGTTGAATAACATTGTACAAAATGTCCAGTCGGCAACTTCAGAATTTTACAATGCTGCATTTTATCAACTATTAAAGATACTGAACAATATTAAACACAAACGTTATGAACTCAAAGACTTTATCCTAGCAAGCTGACACCACTACATATCCTCAGCTTCAATGACCATACATCATGTATGTGGTAGGCAATCTCAGTATGATCAAGATTTTGCAAGTTAAAACACAGTGCTTGCTCAACTGAAACCAGTTGTTAATGTGCAAAGACTGTTCAGATGGATGTACAACAGAGATGTATCTGTAGACAAAAAAAGTGGTTGAACAAATTTTGAGACACCAGATGTGTTTTACCAAAAAAGCACACTGGTCAATTATGAAGTGTGGAAGCAGATGTTGAATGCATATATGTTCCTCTGTATAAAACCTGAGAAGTCCATGAGACAATGCAGCCATATACTGTAAATATCAAAGTCAATTACATACACACTTCTGCACAAACTGCTACATATGCATATAAAGTGGCACTTCTCCCAGACACAAAGGAAAAAGACAATGTGCTATGCTTAATTTTGCTTTCTTGTGGGTAAGCTAGCAGAGAATTCTGGAATATATAGTTCCAGCAGTTCACTTCTCAGATGAATCCAGTAAACAGGAAGAGCTGCCACATGTGGGGAACTCAGAATCCCAGAGAAAGTATCCTACATGTCCATAGTTCAGTGAAAACCATGTCAAGTCTGGCCTATTCCACAGCAAATTTATAAAGGTAAAGTTGTCCATGTTTAATGAATTAAGCACTACACCATGAAGACATATGTGGGAGTGGATATATATACCCAAGTTTCCTTGACCTTGGCACTAGTTTAAGGTAAGTGGTCAGCTTCACGGCCCAACCATTTTAACCCCCCTTAGTACCCACTGGATAGGAGGCTGGGTGGGCCCCAGAGCTGGTCTGGACAACATTGAGAAGTGAAAATTCTTACACCCCCCAGGGCTCAAACACCAATCCCTCAGCTGCCCAGACTGGCCCAACCATTTTAACCCCCCTTAGTACCCACTGGATAGGAGGCTGGGTGGCACCCAGAGCTGCTCTGGACAACATTGAGAAGTGAAAATTCTTACACCCCCCCAGGGCTCAAACTCCAATCCCTCAGCTGCCCAGACCGTAACCAGTCACTATACCAACCACACTATCCTGGTTCTACGGCAAAGTTGTAAGAACCTTTATTTTCACTGATACCACTGTTAATGTTACCACATACCTTGACATGTTCCAGATCTATACTTTCCCAGTTACAGATAGGAGTTCCTATCTTTCATGATGATGGTACTCCTCTGAGGAGACCAAATCTCTTGGCTTCTGAGGTCACCTGATTCATTGTTTCATATTTCTTCCTTTGGAGTTATGTGAAGAATGTTGCCTGTGGCTCTATATGGCTCGTGCACAATGTGAAGGAACCCAGAACAATGGATCACCATAACTGCTGTTACTGTCACCCAAGATGTTCAGCAAGCATGAAATGAAACAAAATTTTGGCTGGACATCTATCATATCGCTAA